TTGTCTAGATTTAATGTTGTGACACAGGAATCGTCCTGGCGACACTGCCTGCAGGCTTGCCAGTTTTTTTTTTAAAAAACCGTGCCAGTGTGATTTTTTTCCTGATTAGCAAAAACGCAAACTCTTGTATATTAGTAGACTTCAAATAAACTAAATTGCTCTCTTAGGAGTAATCAGTGTCCTAGTTTAATGTACACTTTGTTTGTCACTTGCCCGTACAATCTCCAGACCTCTGGTGGGGATATATTTGACAACATGGCAAAAACCAAATTATTTAAGATTTGACTTTCATGTATATTAGTTGCAAATATTTCACCATATAGGGCAGGAATCAATCAAGAAATATTGTTACTATTGGCCTCATCAAACATAACTTTAACAAGTGATAACGGCTGCTTCTTTTTATTTAGGTGTGGTAGGAAAGAGAAAAAAAGAAAGCAGCTGTCATTAATAGGAAAAAAAGAAACTGCTCGCAAGGGAATATTAGTAGCGGACAGCTTGCCGATGGAATTCCGGAACTTTTGCTGACTATCAAAAACTTTAAAAGGAAACTCAAGCATCCAAATGCAACTTTCTATATTTCTCACCAGGGCATGATGTGAGTTTACAACTCTTCGCCTGAGTGGAGTCCCCAGTGCAGTTCTGTCCTCCGTTAGCAGGAGTCGGGTTATTGCAGGCTCTGCTTCTAGACCGGGAACCCGTCCCACACGTCTTACTACATGTTGTCCAAGCAGACCACAAACCGAAACCGCCATCAACTGAGTGAAACAAAGACCACAATCAGGATCAACACACTATTCATTAACTTGGATTAGGCGCAACAGGCGTTAATGTACAAGAATCTAAAACAGTTTGTTGTCAATGACTGTCATACCTGGACAAGGTGTGAAGCAAGATCTCGCCGTCTCTGTGTCGTTACCAACACAGTTTTTCCCGCCATTCATTGGGGGTGGTTGATTGCACAATCTTGTTCTCTTCAAAATGGTTCCTCCTGATATTCCACATGTTTGGGCACACTGGGTCCACGGAGTCCAAGAACTCCATTCACCGTCAACAGGTCCAGCTAAAAGACAAAATAAGCTGATATATCCTGATAGCCTCACCTTTCCTAAACCTTGCACTATCACTTATGGTTTGAATCCTTCTACTTATACAGCGGCTAGGTTCTGGAATGCTTTACCCAACAGATTAAGAACTATTTCTTGTCTCAATGACTTTATTAGAGCAATTCGACAACATGAATTAATTTTCTAGTTGTGATTTCTTCTAAGTTAATATTTTATTCAATATACATAGTGTTACTTTATTTTGATTTTAATTTTCTCGGAGGTACTAGCTTATTTTTGGCTACTCAGAATCTGAGATAAAATATAGTTTTATGTATGTATGCTGGCAACGCGGTGACACAAGAGCACAATTGCTCATTGTTAGTCGTTTTTCCTTAAATTAGTCATTAGTTAAAATGTGCAGTGATGTACTGCTGGTCGCTGGTTGATCCAGCAGTAATTAGGACACGAGAGGAATAAGGTTGTTTGCATGCTAAGAAATGAATCTTAGCATAATTTTTGATTGAAGGAAAAAAACGTCGGTCTTCCACGAGCCGACAAGTTGATTACTTCAATTTATGTCTTGATTCTAGGAATACATACAAGTTCAATAGTACCAGCTGTTCGTTTAGCGGGGTTTTCAGTCAAAACTATCGAATGAGGAAATATTTTTCAGGAGTGTCAAAATTAAAGTTGATGATAAAAGCAAGCAGTAAAATCGGTCAGCGAAATGTCGTCTCGTAAATGGACCAAAGTAAAATTAAAAAGTTCAAGACGTCCGTGATTACGTATACCGAAAAACGTATGGTTTGTGAATCATTGCACTGAAAGGTTTCTTTATGAAGGAAAGGCATCTTTCTGAACGAGTGAAATTACACCGGGCGAGTACATTTTGAGAGTCACTCGCCCGAATGGCGAGCGCTGTCAAAATTTAGTTTGTAACACTGTTAGCCGTTGTTGGCTTTAATGACTGACAAAACAAAGTTAAAGAACCAGGCCATGCTTTGCCCATTTTTTATCAACCAATGAAAAGCCATGGCGCGAAGTGGAAATTATTGCAACTTCCTGGAAAAAATTGAGATCTTTAGTCTCAGCATTGTTCGAGAAAAATCGAGTTTTTGTATTCATGTACGCATTGTGGGCTTATGCTTCGTTTGTTTGTTTTCAGTTAACAGAACAGGTGTTACATACTTTTATTGTCCAAGACACTATATCATACGGTTTGAATAAATCTTAGAACACAAACTTGCATTTATGACCAAAACTTCAGCTTTTCCAATTTACCCCGAAAACAGGCACACGACGGAAAAAACTGACGACTTTCTCTCCGTGCTCCCCCCTGCTCCCCACCCCAACCCCGACCCGTTTTCCTATCACGCGGAAAAGAAAACAGAGTATAAAATGTGCATCCTAAATCCCCTCTATTTAATCAATTGCCATTTCAGTATTGTTACGTTTCGCAGAAATATGTGGCATTATTTTATTTTTCAAATGGTCCACTTTTTTATTTTATTTTTACGATAGTCTATTTATGAAATGTTCACTTTGTTATTTCTTTACTATTTTTGTTACTATACATCTGCTTCGACTTACTTGGGCACGGCCAAATACATTCCAACTTGGTTTCAAGTGTGTCTCCGGAACATGGTTTCCCGTCCGGGCTGGGAGTAGGGTTAGTGCAAGCTCTGGTCCTGTTGACTATGGATCCCCCGCACGGGTTCTCACAGAGAGACCACTGACTCCATTCTGTGAAACCGCCGTCAACTGCGATGGCATTTCATTGAAGCAAGATTGTGGAACGAGAAAAATTAGAACTAAATTTGTGATTTTTGTAGCTCTTACTATTTTCAGTGCAAATTTAGATGCAAATGTAAACGTTTGCTAAGGGAAGTGGTTTCCTGAATTGAAATTAGTCTGTTCTAAGATCCTACAGTAAAAAAACCCGGAATCTAACGAAACATCACTTTCTCGTTATTTTTTAATCAGCGGAGCCCGCCATTTGGGAAAGATGTTGGTTGGCAACATGGCGCAAGATGGTTGCCACGCTAACGAGACAATACTCGGAGAACACGCATGACGTCGGGAAATTGTTTGATTGGGTGATAAGGATCAGAAGCTCTTCGAAAGCTTTAACTAGACCTGCCGATGAAAAATTATTTCTCGACTGAATAGCAAGTTTTATTAAACAGTGCGGCGTGACTCAGATACTTGACAATGCGGTCAGCTTACATAGTCACTGTTAAATATATATTAACAATACAATTGAACAGCAACTAATTGTACTTACTCATGCAGTCCTTTTGTTCCGAGCTGTCTCCTTCATCGCAGTACTTTCCATCTTCACTTGGTATGGGATTGGTGCAAGTTCTTGTTCGAATACGCTGGTTTCCCGCGCAAATGCCGGCTGCACAGCCACTCCACGCTGACCAGCCCGACCAACCACCGTTCACTTTCGCGAAAAAAAGGAAAACAAATCATCAAAGCGGCAAATCAGCTCCTTAAACCTTACAAAAAGCAATGGGTATTTTTAAATTGAAGGGTTTCTATAACGATTTGAAAACTTTTGAATCGTTTTTATTCAAGATCTGTAAGGTGAAACTAAGATAATTTATCAACGATTAGAGTCAGTGTTACGGTATATAAATACAAGAAATAAAACCTAAAAATGCGTGACTTAAAATACCGCCTATGAGCCAAGTTTAAAAAGCCTTTCTCTCACCAAATTGTGTGGAGGAGTATCCTGCTTAGAGAAGGCCGTCGCTTTTATAGCTGAAATTAAAGCAGCGAGATTCCAACGCGAATTATATACGAAACTGGAAAGAAACGTGAAAACTCTGAATTATGTCTACAACAATAGAATAACCGAGTCTGAAAAATGAAGTTAGACACAGAGTGTCACCGCTTTTCATAAAATTTCAAACTACCTAATGCTTTCTAAACAAAACGGACATTTTCAGCTATTTCTCGTCACATTTTTTTAGTTCGCTAGTAAATCATTTCGGCTTTACTTAAAGATAGCTCAGTCTCGGCATTTTGAGTTATTTTGACCACATACAAAAATACCTTCAAATTGAAGGAAACCTGAAAATACTAGTTTACTAAGATAGATAGTTAATAATAACCACTAAGGAACAAGGATGGTTAAAGATAAAGAAGATTAACGCGGATTAAAAACGACGAACTTGTAAAATTTAGGCTAAAGTTTTCAAGAAGCGGAAACTCCCTTAAGATTTCTATCACCTTCTTTTCATTGTGAAAATAAGATTTATTATTAAAAGTCACTCTCACCTGCGGCATCCACATAATTCCAAAATATGACTAGTGACAGAAACCGAAATAAGCAAGTAATAACGTTTGACATATTGATAGATAATATGTAGAGCTCTATTCTAAACTATACAGAGCTAAAGCATCGCTCTGGTGGTGGACCAGATTGACAATCGTCTTTTCAGTCTCCCTGGAAGCCGAGTGATTTGTTAAAACTGCTTTAGGTTTAGGTCGTTTCACAAAACCTGTAAATGCTTACTTTATGAACACCTGAATTGATTCATTATAATTATTGACGCAGATGGGTCAACAAATATTGCTGTAGCTTAAACTAGTTGGGTAATAGTCTATTTACTCCTACTAATTAGAATTATTACAGAAGAGCAAAATCTGTTCATTCGGAGATTTCGCCATCGATAATACGTTAGGGGTGTAAGCCTCTTAATTAAGAAAATTCCACCGTCCAATAATTTAATTGTTGTTTTGAACCATGCCTCAACGAAGAGAAATAAAAAAGTTAAGCATTATAATTAATATTCTCTGACTGACACTACGTTAGAATCTATTCATCTATTTTAAATCGCAGGCTTTTACAGATAAACGCCTGGAGAGACCATTTACACGTCACCTACCGATCGCCATACGGTGCATAGATAAAGTTGTAGTCGTTTAGGGCGTATCTTACTTGCTTTACAGAATTAATTGAAATCGGTTTTAATACTAATAACTTTATATTCCAGTGTCAGGTAAAGTAGCAGGGTCTCACGAAGGTAACAATCACGTAAAATTATAAATCTTAAATATAATTTATTTAGTATAATTTTCCATATTTGCAACTAAAATTCGCTTAGAACTGTAATAGAAATAAAAATCAGCCTCCAATACACCATTTGTGCATGAAAATCACAGGTGCAGAAAGAGTAAATACTCTAGATTAATTTCAGTTCTATATTTACTTTTCCTGCCCAGTGAATGTCTTTGTTATAAATTTTCCTCGGATGTCGAAAAACGTTTCGTCGCTGCAAACTTCCGAGACACTGTATTTTTTGTCCCGGAATTTGGACAACAACCGTCATCAACTCATAGTAGGTTAAGCTTCGTGTTTTTTTATGTCTACTTTTAATTCCGCTTTACAAAGGTATGGACACTTCATTGTTTGTGGCTGGTGTATAAGCTTGACATCAAGGAATGGGCAATAAACCCACATGTGTAATTAGCTAGGTAAACCAAGAGTGGAACTATCCAGGTGATCAAATAAAGTTGTAAATTAATCATCCGTTGTATCGCTATCTTTGTGTGATTCTCAGAGGAGTGCAAAATCTTAATGTTGACCAATCAGAATGGCCGCGGATATTGCTCGACAGGGAGTACTGAAAACCGGTTTTAGTAAACTGCAGAAAAAGGGTTTTCAGAAAAAGAAGTTTGTCTCCTTTCACCACACCAGTTTAAATTATTTTCAAATTTTATCAAGAAAAGAAAACCTTAGGTAAATAGTTCAAACATTTGTTGCCTCTACTTCCTCTCTTCTGAAGACAATTGATTGCACGGAGTTGGAGCGAAAACGTATCTGAGGTGAGTGACTAAACGTGCGAAGTCTCATGCACTTGGTGGTTATGTAATGTACTTAATCACCGCGAGTTTAAATCAGCAATTTGCAGCTCTTTATATTTATTTTCATACCAATGTAGTACGAGAAAAGTCGTGACGAGAAATCCATTTAAAAAA